AGGGCCCTCAAGGTTGGGGTTCAACCTTTTTTTTAATATGTATCAAGAATAGTATTTATGACGTGTGCAAGTCAATGATTGAATGCTTCCTTTGCATGTGAAATTGGAGTAGGAATGTGATTGAGTAGTGCTAAGGATATGTTTAATATATTTTGTAACCAAAAAAAAAAAAAAAAAAAAAAAAAAAACAAACTTGAAAGTCAAGAACTAGAAATAGAGATCAATAGGTGGCTTCAAAAATCTAATACATTCATGTTTCTAATTGATAAAAACAACTCATTTATTTTTTATTCTTAGCTTAATTAGAATAATAAAACAATCAACAACCTTTTATGTGTTACATTGATCGAAATTGATAGTAACTAATACACTATAATTAACATTTATTCCTCACTACATATTACTTGATAGTAATTAGTACACGTACTCACTACATATGACTTGTTAACGATCCCTTTCGCTTGCAAAATTTTCTCAAACAGCATAGATTTCTCACTAGGATGCATTTTCTATATATGCCCATGTGTAAAGGAGGTGGCCTACCAACTAAGCTATGGCCCTTAGTGTTTGTGATACAATTTTTATCATGTAGATAATTTCTTTTCAAGATGAATATCCTATGACCCAACACCCTCAATTTTTGAGTGATACTACTTGTATTAGAATTGCTCATAAGTAATATGATATTTATAATACATCGATGGCATGGGTAAAACATTTATTTTCTTCACATTTACAAATATTTATTAACCAATGTCTATTATAAAAAAAATTGAAATTCAAATTATAAAAATAAATTCAATACGAATTTTATCATATGGTTAATTGAAAAATAAAATATTAGTTCTATTGATGAAGAAGTCGAGTCGAGAAAGTCAATGAGAAAGGCAAAATAATATTTGAAATTGGAATGCTTTGTGCCTTTGTCAAGTACAGATTATGTGGTTTCAGATTTAGAACTAGGACTTGGGCCTCATTTTTTTTTTTTTTTTTACATAGGATGCTTTTTTGGACATGGACTGTATTGTATCCGTCCATATCTCAGTTGTTGCTGAGTTTCCCCTTGGTTTACTTTTCCTACTCTTAGCTGCTTCAAATGAAGTGAACGGCTTTTTATTAGAGTAAACATGTTGTGTAGAGTCGTGTTAATCCACCACTCTTTTCGGTTTGAACCCACCAAGTTCACTTCAAAAATTATGACTGCTGGGCTCATCTCAAGTACATCGTGTTCCATGTATTTAACCACATTTGCTTCATTCTTATTATTCTTCTTTGCAATTTGCACTCCGAACACTTATGGCCTACTTTGTCACAATTAAGTCACTTTCCTTCATATTTCTTCTTGAAAACTCCACCTTTTGATCTCCACTTAGACCCTTACCACTAGATAGCCCATGTTTGCCCTTGCAGGTTTTAGAAGTTTATTTAAGCTTCACAATACTTTCTTTAGCAACAACTAGAGTTATCCTCTTACTTTTCAGAACTTCTGTTATATTCTTTAATTTGAAGTTTGACAATCGAATTTTCAATGTTCATTTCCTTTCACTTGTGCTTAAACTATTTTTTGAAAGCATTTCATGCCAGAGGTAGCTTCTCAATAGTAGCAGTCACTAGAAAAGTTTCACCCAAGATCATTCCTTTGGCATGAATTTCATGTAAAATCACTTGAGGTCCTGTACTTGAAGGATCACAATTCTTGAGCTCCCCATGTTATGATCTAGGAAGTGGCCAATAATGTATTTCTTAGTCCGACACTCTCAATTTTATATTTGGGTCTAAAGACTTCACAATTCCTTGGTCATTTACAACGCATTATACATGTATATTGAATCAACCAGTGCATTGTTGTTGAACAGGGAATCAAAATGTTTCCAAGCATCAACTGTGATGATAGCTTGTAAATCTCTCTCACAATCTTTGAGTTTCAGAGCATCCTCGGTCAAGAATCTTGTGAGATTCAAGGAGGCGAGGTAAAATAGAATCTTTTTTTGGAATTGAACTCATTAAATTTCTTTGATTGCTCCCTATGTATAACCGGAAATGTTACAGCTAGGCCAACTGTTCCGAGCCATTGTCTAGGTCACAGCATAACTTGGCAGTTGAACTATGGCCAGATTTGCAATGTGACTTGACAATTGAGTCAACAGTTTGTTTTACAGTAACCATATCCATATCGGTTAATCTGGTTACCATTTCTGAAACTCCAAACAACTATTAATTTCCCAGTGCAAACAAAATAAAACTGATTTTTTATTTTTGCATCATTTTAAGATTTTCAGTAAAATTATAATAGAATATAATATTTTAGAGAAATAACAAACAAAAATCAAAATTGAAGAAAAAAATACAACTAAATAGGATAACAGAATAGCAAATTGATGCCTGTGAAAACAAAATGTATATCCTTAAAATAGATTCACTATCTTACTATAAGTGCTTCAGGTTTTGCTGACTCTCAATACAGATAACAAACCAGTACTGATTTTATTTCAACACTATCATCAAGACTTGGATATGGACACATGAAACGAATAAGGAATTTATTTTGGAATAAAAAAATTTGTGTATGGAACCGATGAAAATGACCACTCTTAAAGTCTCTAATGAGTGACTTATTATACCATTAATTTATCATTACTCTAACAAAAAACACACATGTTAACATAGGCAACAAACCACATGAGTTTTAGGACCTGAAAACTGTGGAAGGGCAGTTGAAAATATATGAAAATAAATAGAAACCATGGATCCTACTGAGAGACAAAATTTCAGTTTGTCATTCAAGTACGCATGTCACATTTGCACATAAGACAAACTATAATTTTGCTTTCCATCTAGCAACCAATTCAAGTGAATATAAATTGATCTTCAATTTATCATTCGCACTAGCATCATTTTGACTAAGTAAATATATGATTTTGATGTTTTCGCAGAGGAAAACAACAAATATACTTTGATCTTCCAAAGAATATAAATGAATTACACTCAAAATTATACCAAAAAAGAAAAAAAATCATTTTCCAATAAGCAATGCTGCAATAATGTGATTTAATGCTGGAAAGAGGGGAGCGGGAATGTTGTTGGTTGCTCGGGGAAGTGGTGGTGGGGACGGATTATAGCATAGCATTATTGACCAACGTACTCTTCATTAACTTTTATTTCTCTTTTCTTTTCTCCTTTTTTCCTTTTTAAGGAAGTCCATTCCATTTTTCTTGTTAAGGTAGTTACATTGTCATGCCATTGCACCACTTCTTAATCGTACTAAAAATTATTCTTTGCTTATTATCATCCTTAAGTCCTAAACTTTTTTCATCACGTTTTAAGAATAACCTTTAATTAATTAGCACATTTTGTCCTCATAACATATTCCACTCAAAAAGTCCGTTAAAGGGTGTAAAAAATACTTTATTTGCCTCTCATAATTTTAAATAAGAGAAACAACAATTAGAATACTATATAAAAAAAATTCTCAAAGACAATGTGCAAATTAATGAAAGATTAATGCAAACTATTAGAATACTATATAAAAACAATTCTCAAAGACAATGTGCTAATTAATGAAAGATTAAGAATAAGATTGCGATGAAATAATGTAGGGACCTATGTGCGCCAATAATAAAAGATTGAGGGCTTTCTATTATACAATTAATAAGTGATAAAACTAAAGAAAAATGATGTTTCAACATAAATTACCCATGGTAAAAATGAAGTACTGCTTTAGAGACATTATAATCCTCTATACTGACCCTACTAGTATCTTATTCATATTATTTTGAGAGTGTGGTTTCTTATACTGACTTTATTTATTTAACATAAAATATTTGGATGCTTGATTCAAATTGAATCTAGTTGGCTAAAACATTATCATCAACGAATAGTAGGTGTTGCATTCTTATCCACATGACCTAGTCCCTTGTTGAAGACTGTGGATCACATGTTTGTCAACCAAGTTTCTATAACCAATTAAGGTCATTTGCAACCCACATTCTAAGTTTGCATAACAAAGGGTTCACCTCAAAAGTACCATATTCGAATGTCCAAATCCATCTAACTTGACGTAAAATAAATCCACTATTAAGAATAGTGATCTATATTAAAACAAATGATTGATGATTTCATGTGAATTCAATTTTCTTTTGTTAGTCATTGGGTTTCAACAAAGTATGTGAATTTGGTAAAGGAAGCCATCTACAATATGATTTTACTATACTATTCCAAATAATAGATGATCAAATTAACATAATGGAACTAAGGGACAATGAACGAAATTCACAATATTGTTATTAATGAAAGGTGATGTTTAGTTAAGCACTAAAATTTGGGTTTTCCAACAAGGGAAATTGGATAGGCAGATTTCTTAGTAATATGGATAGCAGTGTTAATGGGAAGCAGTGTCTGGTTGAGGCCAAGAACTATAAGAAATATGAGTTTTGTTGACCAAGAGATTGGTCACTCAAAGCCCAATTTTAGTCGGTAATTTACTGACCGGAAAGTTTTGGTTGGCAGCTGGTCGCCAAAGGCCAGCCAGGGAAGGTTTTTACTGACCAAAATATAATTTAGTTGGGAAACAGAGATTTTTACCAATCAAAAAATTGTTGGTCGATAATTATAAACCTTTTCTTGACCATACATTTTGTTGGTAAATGTCTAAAGTAGTCGGTAGTAAACAAGTCATGAGTAGTGGTAGTAAACATAGACTGACCATAGCGGTTGGGCGGGAATAATATACATTAGCCGACCAGAAAATCAAGTGACATTTACCGAGGGATAGATCAAGTGAAATTGGTCAGGAACTGCTTTTTCTGATTATGGTTTCCCTCAATAATTGTGATTTATTTTATTTTTTACAACCTTGTCCGAGAATCAAAGTTATAAGAAAGGTAGAATGGCCAACTCGAAAATAATGTACCAATAAAAGTTCAAATTCAAGAAATATCAGAAACCACAAAACAATAATCACAATAAAAAGCTTGTAGCAAAACAATTGCAAGGCAAAATGCTATATCATATCTTCACCAGTCAATTCCAATTTCAGAATAAGTAACTACATTACATGCCCAAACTATAATGGATTTCAAAATAAAGAGCCTAGTCAAATTCATATATAAGAGAAAGCTAGCTTAATCCAAAAATAATAGCATATGTTATAATGGAGTATTAACCATCCAAATATAAAACCATGTAAATGGAATAGAAAAGCTTTAAACTAATGATCATCATGTGACTCGTGATCAGGTTATGATGGTGACGAAGACGAATGAGGATTAGTAGGAACTCTAGGGCTGCCTATTCTAGTGATGGCAACTGGCATAATCTCTTTTAACAAAACGAGAGTACGCTCATTTTGGCTATGTAAATTATGCGTGACTTGGCGAACCTTGGCATTCTCTCATTGAGTCATGTCTACACAAGATGTAGCACGTTGAATCTTTGGACCCCTGCCCAAACTGTATAGTAGCAAGAAGTAGCTCTAAGGACCTGAGTCAAAATGTCATTAGCAGTGAGCTATACTCCTTGGATCTCACTCTCCTCTCCCACAATATGTGCCTGTTGTGTTGTTTGTGTGTCTACCATATCTTTCTGCATGAAAATAGGAAAGTATTCACATAAATAAGGTAGTAAAATATTTAGCTCATTAAGTAATAATAAACTTAAAGACTTATATTATTTGTATATTACATGTTTCTCCTCAACCACAGGATGGATCCAGCCTTT